AAGGAACGAATTTGGGGTGGTTTTGAAAGGACTTGAGTGTTTGGATGTTGACATCAATTTTGAATTTTGGATTAACTCTTTGGTCAATTTAGTTGGGGTCACGAAGTAGATATGAATAAAACCATAATTTTTTCTAAGTATTGAGGATAGAGAATTGGTTGTTTGTAATGTGGACTGTTTTAAATGTAATTTTTTAGTGCTGAAATATATGATCTTAGTTTTATGTGGAACAATTATATTGAAATAGAATTACATGTTAATCAGGTCTTTATTTTAAATCAATCATGATTTTGTTTTTTATTATTTGTTTTTGCTTTAAAACAACTTTTGAAGAAGTAAAGAAGCATATAGCGAAAATCAAGAAGCAATCAAACGGGAGCCTCAGTAGAAAGACACTTAAATTTATATTATTATGATACTAAGCTGTGCTTAGATGATGACTCAGGAGTTGCTTTTAGTTACAGAGTAATCAAGATTTTATCTATGGGAACATCATCTGGTTCTAATATTAACCACCAGCATTCATCGAAGATGTTGCCCCCACGTCAACAACCACGACCAGGGAGCTTACAAACTTCGTTGTCCTTAGTCTCCTCAGATCCTCGCTTATCACCCGATGCACAAGAACCCAGATCAAACTCAGATAACATTCATGAGTCTCCTACCGAGAGTGCCAGCTCACGAGAGACTTGGCCTACTGCTGATGCTGTCGCAGCAAAGAAGATGGAAAATGGGAAAACTGAAAATGATTTCCCTGAGCAGTCTGTCATTCGCCGTGTTTCTAGTGCTGATAAGATAACACTTCGAGACATTGCAAGAGAAAGAGTTGATGTGATCTCTGAAAAGATGCATCACCTACCTGATGAGTTCCTAGATGAGCTAAAGAATCAACTTAGGGCAATCCTGGAGGGCAATGGTGGTTCACAAAACAGGGAGGAGTTTTTGATTTTGCAGAAGTTTGTTCAAAGTAGATCTGATTTAACAGCTAAGACATTGATTAGAGCACACCGGGCACAACTTGAAATCCTTGTTGCAATAAATATGGGAATTCAGGCATTCTTGCATCCAAACATCAGCTTGTCCCAAACTTCTCTCATTGAGGTTTTTGTGTACAAAAGATGCAGAAATATAGCATGCCAAAACCAGCTACCTGCAGATGACTGCACCTGTGAAATATGTGCCAATAGGAATGGATTTTGCAATCTTTGTATGTGTGTTATCTGCAACAAGTTTGATTTTGAAGTAAATACCTGCCGCTGGATTGGTTGTGATTTGTGTTCTCATTGGACTCATACTGATTGTGCTATTCGCGATGGGCAAATTTGTATGGGTCCTTCCGTTAAGAGTGGAGCAGGTCCTACCGAAATGCTTTTCCGGTGCCGTGCTTGTAATCGAACATCTGAGCTGTTAGGCTGGGTTAAAGATGTCTTCCAACATTGTGCTCCAGCCTGGGATAGGGAGGCTCTTATGAGAGAACTTGATTTTGTTAGTAGGATTTTTCGTGGAAGTGATGACCCCAGAGGGAAGAAACTCTTTTGGAAGTGTGAGGATCTTATGGAAAAAATGAGGAGTGGACAAGCAGAGTCCGCAGCTTGCAGATTGATATTAATTTTTTTCCAAGGTACAATGTCTACTAAGTTATTCAATTATCTTGCAAAATATTGTTTGAAACTTATATGTTATTTGGTGAAAAATGTATGGGGGATGAAAAATACAACTCAGTCTTGCATGTACTTTTCTTCTATGTTCCATGGCATTTGATGAACATGAGAATTAATTTCATGCTGCATCTGAAAGGAGTAGGAAAGAACCAGTTAGTTGCCATAAAAATTATCATTTGTTCATCAGCATTTTGATGATCCTGCTTTCCCACAGTTGAGCATCTCATACATTATTCATGCCATCCGGCTTTGATCAAAACCCTAATTTGGACTGGTGCCTTTTGTTTGGACTTTAAATTTTTTTGGACATGAAAATTATTTGAAATGGCTGAAATGCAAGTTGGTTTTATCATTTGAGTTACATGATAATCATGATAAATATTACTTATTTGGTGCATGTGATTTTTCTATTTTTAATGTTGGCTTATCATTTTTAAATTTTTTGGTCCATCACATATGCTATAGTGTACTGAAATTCTGTCTGCTCTTTTTGAGAAATTTGCACTTCTCTTCGTGATTCTGATAAATGGAAGCCTCTGCTCTGTTTTTGGGTTGGATCTCCTTTTATCTTCGTAATTGATGTAGGATAGCAAGGGAGGGTTGTATAAAAAGTTTTTATATTGTGAGCTAAATGTTGTGATTTTAGGACTTAGTTGGTTTATAAAAGATACTAGAGTTTGAGGGTTTCTATAGGATGGAAAAGATTCGTTCCTGACAGCTGCAAGCAAACAGAAGGGAAAAAAAACCAACCCATTGCTCTGGTTGTGAACAGTCCCTGTAGACAGTAACTTGGGGTTGGGTGAAATGTGATGTTAATTTTGTTGTGGGTTAGGTTGGACTATGTAAAAATCTGCTTGAGAGTTTCAAATAAACGATTTTAAAGTCCCAAGGGCTCCAGCACCTAGAATTAATTCATGCAATCATAAGGAGAGTATAATAGCACCTGAAATTCGCATAAATATTTTCTATGCTAATCATAAGGA